AAATATATATATATATATATATATATATATATATATATATATATATATATATATATATATATATTGTCGGAAATTTGAACTGAAAGAGAGGTAATCTTTTTCTCTATCTTTCTCAGGGAATTTTTTTATGGTCCGACAATAATTTTTGTTTTTTTTTATTTTTTTTTGTTTAAGAGAGATTACCTCTCTTTCGCACAGACAGACACCACACACGCGAGCAAAATTTCCACAGGATTTATCCACACTTTCAGTTCAAATTTCCGACAATTGGCGCCCAAAGTGGGGCCACAGGATTTATTAACTCACACATTCAGACAAATTTCCGACAATATATATATTACATCAACGGTAATGAAGATTCATTTCAGATATGTTATGTAAGCACATACAAAAGTTCTCCAGTTTTAACATGTAAGATAATTTCTCTTTTTACAATCCAAATCTCCACAACTTCCTGAAGAAACTGGGTCCATGCCACATTCCTCTGAAAATTATAGTTTAGCAAACCATTTGAAAAATTATGTTAATTATATTATGTTAGCACGTGTTCAATAAACACAAATTGTTGAAATTAATTAATAATTATTATCAATCAATACTAATCCACTTGAAACTTCTTAGCGTAAATTTATGTTTTTAGTCGTCACAAAATGAACGAGACTTACTTGACCATGAGTTTCCAGTAGATGATAGGCATGAGGTGAACTTTTAACAAGAACATGGAATACCTTGGCACGCGCTGGTCAAATGGAAAGGTTTCTAAGATTTTTCCATCATATCCAAATTCAGCCAAAATGACTTTACTGCTACTTACGGTTAGCGGACACGAAGTGTATCCATCGTACTGCAAGCAAGCAAGGGCAATCGATTATTTTTAGGCACATGCTTCTTCAAAGAAACAAAACAAGAGCATATTTTGCCACAACAGTTTTGTTATTGAAATTAGTCTTGCCATAAAGCGCCCCATTAATAAAAAATTATAAAAAATATTTTATTGGTCAGTAGAGTTTATGAAAAATTGTTTGAAACCGGTGAATATTGAGTTACAAATCAAATAAACAGTTCACCTTTCCTTTCAGTTCTTGTCCCATTATAGCGGCTTTCAGGTTTTTGCTCACCACACCTATTTGTGAAGCTAAAAATCGTGATGTACATTTAAAATAGGTGTAGTTCATTCAATGGATCACAATTATTTTGGTAAAACTGTTATTTTATTTCATTGTTTAAATTTTTACCAAAGATTCCGTTCTTTGTTTGTGTGCGAGTAGAAATAGAAACAATTTATTAAATGTGTGTGCGTCACAGATAGGTCAACTTATACTATTATTCCGCGCGCGATGGCATGGTTCCAATAGTCCCAAACTTGAGAGACCATACCCGTCCGTATGATGCAGTGCTTGCGTGTGCATACATAATCTGCATGTGCGTCTTTTTTTGCAAGTAGAACTGCCTTTGTGGCATGACGGTATAATTATTATAAATATAGAATAACTTGTAAGCAGCTCTTAATTTGATGGAGCTGCATCATAAAGAATAAAAAAATGTTCATTGTTAAAAAGCAACATGAGATCAACGTGAACGTAACAGCCTAAAAGGCAATTGACACAAAGTTCAAATGTTGACAAAAGAATATATATAAAACGTATAAAATATTAAATGTTAAAAACCAGATGCATAGATATCAAATACTTGTCTACGATTCAGAAAATTCATAAACAACGCTGACATTATGAAATAAAAATGGAACATTTGAGATAAAATGCTGACCACAAGCAGCGGCAGTTTTCGACGTTGGAGCGCTTGTGCAGTCACCAAGAGCGAACACGTTTTTGTACTTAGTATGCTGAAGTGTGTCGGGATTGACGCTAACGAAATTAGCCTGATCAACCAGTGGCGTGTTCCAGAGTTCGGAGGGTGTAGACATGGGTGGAGCTACGTGCAGTAAGGAATACTGGTGACATTGAAATATTACAAATTATGTTTAATGTGCGGCAGATAAAATGATGATTATCAAAGATTTAATCTATTAGATTACATTTTTTTTAATTACTAATAGCAAAATAATAACTTCTAATGTTGAAATCTAAGAATGGTCTTGATTACTGATTGGATAAAAAGCTTCAAAAGTTTAACTAATAAATTATAATGCAATGCCATATCGGTGACTAATACATAACTGAATGTTACTTGCACGTAAATATAAATAAACTGCTCTTTCAGGTTATTCACCAATACAATCCTAATGAAAATGTCTAGCTTTACTTATTAATAGCATAAGCACGTATAATAAATTAGATATTAAGCACCTAAACAATCGCAAGCAACAATATTTGTAAAGATGGTCATATATTACAGGCAGAAGTGTGCATCAAAAAAAATTTCTGTTTGCCCTCCATCACTATAAAAGAATGCAAACATTGTTAAGTGCCCATGCAATTCGAGTCTGTAATAAATCTTTCTTAGATCCGTAAAAACGCATATTTATGCATATGCATATTTATAACAAATATTATTATAAAGAGTGGAAACTCTTCAGCAAACCATTGATTATAGTAAATGTGCTGTACAACTTTCAACCTATGAAATGAATAGAGAAATTCACAGCAAGTTTTATATTTAATAATTTGCACAAAATGCTATAAATATGAATGAAATTAAGTTAAATAACCTTGACGACTTCATATTTATCTTCTTCTCCTACGATTTTGAAGACTGCCTCTTTTTTGTCTCCTCTAACTTCAACCAAATTTCTGTTCTTCTTAACATCTATCTGCCTGTTTTATTGTTAAACTACTTACATGTTTAAAACATGAATTAAGATTTCCAATGACCAACCTTCCTTCAGCATACTTGTCTAACGCCTCCGCATATCTTGGCACAGGAAAAATTACTGGCAGTGCTGTGTAGTATTTGAAGATAACTTTATCTCTCAAACTGTTCTGCAAATTAAAATAAAAGCAAAAAATGAATAACGTTACAAACATCGATAGTAGCAATGAAAGTTTAAACAATCACATTTATTTTAATTTCAACAAGGAAGCGTAACAGCAGGAGATAAAGTGCTGAAAGTTGAAATAACCTTGAATAATCTTTCTTCGGACAGGTAGCAGATTTTCTGAGCGGCTCCAGCGCACTTGACAGGAGTGCTTGGAAAAGTATAAAGTGCAACACCTTCTTTCAAACTTTTCACTGCAGGCAAGACTTTCTGAACATATTTTGGAGAATATATTGAACAAACGTTTGCATCGCCGTCTATGGCCTCTTGCAAACCTTTTACCTAAAATTTCATTGGAATGATACTTTTATTTTATTAAACGTTTCAAAACACGAGTATAACGATTCACATTTTCCAAGGCATAAAAACACTAACAGCGTCGTAGTTGAGCTGCAGTCCCAAGGCTAGCAGCAAGAAGTCATATTTAATCTGTTGAGTAAATTTTCTTTATTATATATGAATATTAAAAATGTAATAGTGTAAACATTAACAATCGGTTGTATTGATACTGTAGTTGTACATATAAGTACTTAACTATATAACTTAAGAGATTTAAATTTCATAAAACCACAAACATCGAATTTTATTTTAGTTATGTTCAAATATGCACTGGACTATAAAAAATCAAAAGTGTTATTGGCCTAAAAAATAAGTATTTTGGCCATTTAAAAATCTTTTTTTTAATTTTAAAAATAAAATATTTTAATTCACACTAATTTTTCTATAAGAAAATAAAGCGCTTTAAAATTAAATATTTTGAATACTCAATAGCATCATGTAACAATTAATGAATATATATATATATACATTCTTAACACTTGACCTTCTTTCAAACTAAACTAAACTAAACGAGCGTTTTTGCAAACGTAAGAATGTTAAAGCGAAAATTTTTTGTTTATATTGAGTATTAAAAAATGTTGTAGCAGATAGCAACAACATGTTTTGGTTAGAAAAAACAGCTAAACAACGAAATGACTAGCATCAAAAGAAGACAAAAACAGACGCAAAATAATAGCATGGATGTGTTACCTTATCACCTTTCTTAGTGATTACAAGATTGTTGGAAGGGTCAAATGTAACCGCCTTATCTTGAATCCAAGAACAATAATTGTTTAGAATATCTTTGGTGTGACGAGATGTTTGGTCAAATGTTTTTAAACCTCCTCCAACTAGAGTGAACATGGATTGATAATAATGATCCTACAATCAAGAAAATTATAAGAAAAAAAATTATTTGTTAGATGGGTTTAATTAAAAGTTACTTCGTTTGTTTAATTTAAAAAAAATTGGAAAAATAAAGAAATAAAAAAATTTTGCTTTTTAACAATCTAGAACAGTTTAATAATGTTAATAACAAGCAGACGTACGGCACTCGGTTCAATGACCCCGATATCTTTGTTGAGCATCTTCGCGAAGGTGCCAGCGATGGCAGACCCGCCAGTGCCACCTCCGACTATCAACAGCTTGAACTTTTTCTCGTTTTCCGGTTTTTGTGTGGACGTTGATGAATGAGCGGCTGATAAGATGATGATCCTCGAAGATTTGAACAAGTTTGAACCAAGATTTACACTTTTAATGATGTGTGACATTCTCAATACAATTGCAATTTGTATTACAAAAATACGTTGAAGATAATTCTGTTTTGTTCGAATATTAAGTGATGAAAATTTATGGCGATCTGATTTGTTATTGGTTATCCTAAGTTTGCAATGTTATGAAAAATTTGACAATAATAAATACTATAAATGAAAACCATTAAAGATAATTATCCTTATCGTTTTAAAATATAGTAAACCATAAAAATATATAGATTACAGATGCCTAAAATACAAATTATATCCAAATTATTATGCGAACCGGTACAAACAACAAGGGAGAGAAACAAACAAAATGAATCAATCACACATGTGCACTATACACGTGCACTCTTTCATCGGTGGTTGGATACATACAATACAGGTATATGATATGTATATCAGAAAATGCGATGTGTGTTATATAAAGAAATAAATATGAATATGTAAAAACATATATGTAAACATATAACATGCAGATACCATCATATAATTTTTAAAGTTTATGCTACATACATTTGCTCAAGCGTGCATGCACTTGGTTCTTCGAACTGAGTTTAACATCTCAACGTTTTATTGCAAAAGTCGGCTGGTACTTGAACGAACTTTGAGACGATAAATTACAATGTTGCTACTTTTATCAAGAACAAAACTTTGCATCACTTTGTGGTTTAAGAATGTATTATGCCAATATATGAGCTTTTATATTTTCTTTTTAACAAATTCATATGCTTAATGAATTGAAAGAAATTTGTTTGACATTGTTGTTAATAAAATCGTTCTATGAATCGTTCCTATGTGCCTTTAATCGATTGCAAATTTCTTAAAGTGCATAAAATTTTTCTTATTTTTTCTCTTCTGGACTCAGTCGTTTATTTCAGGTCATCATTACTTCTTGCTCTAAGCCGCCTATTTTCCAAATAAGCGAGTATGTGGCCTCCTTCTATTAATGCTGCTGTCCTGAAGTAAAAAACAATAGTTCGTGATGCATGCATACAAATATCGATACATGCTGCACACTCCGCTTGGCATGGTGCGCATTGAAATTTCAATTGAACCTACGCTGGGCCGTCGTAAGCCGGAAAAATTTCAAAATTTTTATGTGAATTATAAACGAAATTAAACACAATATCGGTTGCTTAAATTTATTCGCACAGTTCATTCAGTTGAAAACAGTATTTATTTGTTTCGTAGCGTCAAAAGGAACTCAAAAATAACGTTCGAGAAACAGAAAAAAAGAAAACATACCATGAAGCTAAATTCTTATTGATTTAAAATCAGGAGTGGTAAATTTTCAACGTCAAAGCCGAGCATTGTTTGTTTTAAAAACTGTAACATTACATACCATACAACAATTACGCACGTAGGCAATGGCATGTCACAAAAAAATCAAAATTGCTATATAAAAGATTTGCCTTTGCGTTTACAAATTTATATAAACTTATTTCAAATTGAGTTAAAAAAATTGGTTGTAGATTCTTTTCAAACAGTCTTAGTTAAATGTTTTCCTTTTGCTTATATTTTGTATTACGATGTAAGAAGACAATTGTGCCTGCAGTGCATAATGTTTACAAGCGAACTCGTTAACTTCCAAACTAAATAAGAAGCAAAACAATGAGATAAAGTTCTAATTTTAAGACAAATTTTTCTTTAATTTTGGCATGGTATTCTGATTTTAAACACAGAAGTTTTATAAACAGATTAACTCAATTTCTTTGTGAAGAATGCTATCAGAGTATAAATTAACATCAAATTATAAATTATAATTGTATATATAATGTATTTAAATATTATTAATTATCACACATGTATATCAACTTGGTAATAATAATAATATTATTAAATAAATTTATGGAAAAAACCCCAAAGATAATTATTATCATAGCAGCGTTCAGCATCAGGCCATATGTTCATAATTAAGAAATCTTTTTCTGTGTTGTGCACTTTTTGATCTGGATGAAAAAATGAATAAACGGATAGATGAATGAATAGATGAATGAACGAACAGACAATGGATAGAAGAATGGATGGATGAATGAACGAACAAATAAACAAACGAATGAATGGATAAACGATGAAGAAATGAACGGATGGACGAATAAAGGATCGATCAAAAAAAAATCCTAATTATAGCGGTCACTTGAAATGTACAGTTATACAGGCGTGCTGAATATATGTGAAAACAACATCACCAGGCCATCTTTTGAATCGTCATCCTTATAATCATATGAGTGAATCAACACACTGCTTTAAGGTAACAACATCCTCATCAGTACCATTATTATAATTATTATTATTATTATTAATAAAAACAAATAATTTACTCTTACTTCAAAACAAACTACGGCGTTGTAAAAACTAAATCAATTTGAAAACAGACTGCACAATCAAACAACAAAAAAAGGAGCTAAAACAACTAAAAGCTCAAAACTGCAATAACGTTTTCAACACCCATATCTCAAAACTGAGTAAATTAATTCGAGAGAGATTGAGATTAAAATCCTCAAAGAAAACGTGCTCCGCAATGGGTACAAACCAGTTCAACAACAATTTCTGGAGGGCCTGCAAATCATCGTTTTCATCATCAACAAATGTAGCTCCTCAATATAATGTGGCCGACGGTGAAACCTTTTTCCGCAATGGATTGATAGCCGACGCTCGATCTTCATTCCAATTTCCAGATTGGATTCATCCCCTGCCGGAACCGTCAGTTAAGGGTGACATCGATAAACCGACATATAAGGAAGTCGTTGCGATTGTTCGAAGGTGCAAGGCCAAAGCCACACCTTGTCCGCTGGACTAAATTTCGGTTATTGCGCTAAAAAGATGTCCAATTCTCCGCACATACCTTCATAAATTAATAGTTAAATGTTGGAATGCCGGAACAATTCCGCTGTGTTGGCGAAAAGCCTTAACGATTCTTATTCATAAAAAAGGTGATGCAAATGACCCGGCTAACTTTCGCCCCATAACTCTCCAGCCTGTACTATACAAGATATTTTCTACATAAATCAAAAATCGTCTTCACAACTTCCTCCTACAAAATAATTTTATCAGCACAAATATACAGAAAGGTTTTTACCCTACGCTCGATGGCCTAGCAGAGCACACACAGATGCTATCACATCTAATGAAAGATGCAAAAAGATATCAACGCTCGATAATTATTGCTCTACTGGATCTTCGGAATGCGTTTGGGGAGGTAAACCATCAGCTTATTAATTCCATTTTACTCTACCATCATGTTCCTCAATTATTCCGAAATTTAATTTTGTCAATCTACTCGAGCTATGCAATATCAGTATCAATTAATGATCAACTCACACCGTTGTTGCAAGTAAGAAAAGGAGTGCTACAGGGTGATCCATGTTCGCCGTTGTTGTTTAACCTTTGCTTTAACCCGTTGATGAAAATCTTGGAGGGTGATGAATTTAAACAATGCGGCTACCTGTGGGGACCAACGTCAGATGTGAGGGATAGATCATGGCTGCAGTTTGCAGATGATACAGCGATAATAGCACACAATTCGGAAAGTGCTCAAAAGCTAATTGATCTGAATCTAGCTTGGTGCCGATGGTCAGACATGCAGATGCGAGTGGACAAATGTTGTGTGTTCGGTATGATGAAAAAAGATGGCTCATATGACCAATTTTTGCCCAGGTTGACAATAGACAACATTCCCATTCCACCCGTTGAATTGGGCTATGGATTCAAATACCTGGGTAAAATATACGATGCGGAACTAAAGGACACAAAGGCCAAAGAAGAAATGGTTTCCAAATTAACAAGACTGTTAAAGAGGACAACGGATCTAAAGGTTTCCACTCAAATGAAACTCCAGGTCTTAAGAAGATTTATCCCGTCACAATTAAAATTTGAATTGAGAAGCTATAATCTTTCACTGACGTGGATAAAAAATAACTTGGACAACATGGTGACAGAGGCTGTTAGAGATTGGCTAACGATGCCAATTAGCGGTTGTGTATCAGAGGTTCTAGGGCTACCATTGAAGACAGCAGGTCATAATATTGTTTCACTCAGGGATACTGCGTTAAAAATGAGATTAAAACTCCGCAATTACTTCAAAACGAACCGAAATTCAGAAATTCGCTGTCTCTGGCGGGAAACATCAATAGACTACAAAATGGTGGACAATTTATTATCAGATACAGACACAACAACTCATTCGTTAAAACATTTAAAGGAAGATCAGATAACTGCCAACTGGAATCATGTTGTGTCGCTTCAGAGCCAGTGTTCCATTGTTAAATCAGTAACAGAGGTAATATCACTATCGCGAATAACACATTGGTCAAAACAATTAGATTTGGTTTCAGAAACTCTCTACAAATTTGCCAGGAAATATCTTATACAGCAATTGCCGAACAACGCCAATCTGCTCAGATGGGGAAAGAGCCACGATTCCCTATGTCCTCTTTGCGGCGCTCAACAAACTAACAAACACGTTGTGTCCAACTGTGGATCTGTTGTCGCGTTAGCAAGATATACTGAACGTCATAATAAAATTTTATCCGAAATCGTCAGTTGGTTAAAGACATGTCGACAGCCGGACTACCGGATATTCGCTGATATCGTCTCGTAAGGAGTCCTGCCAATATCGCAACTGTTCGACACTCTTCGTCCAGACATCGCCATTTTGCGCGACCACAAGATTGAAGTCATCGAATTAACGGTGTGCCATGAAACAAATCTGATAAAGTCAAAAAATTACAAACAATCGAAATACGAAAATAACTTGAAATTGTGTATAAAGGCTGACTTTAAAAACAGTTTAAAATTGGCTTTTTTAATGTTTTAAACTTGTCTCTAATTAAAAATTCATGGCCGATTACATTTATTAACAAATTAACTTATACAGTTATTAAATCGACGTATGCCATTTATTGCGATAGAAACAATCCGTAACCAATTTGAATATTTTACCGTTTTCCACTTGTCATAGATAATGAGCATTGTGGTTTTATTGAATATTATTACATTAGTATATATTTTAATTATTCTATTTTCTTCCATTCATTAGATTGACTTTGATTGAAATAAAAGAGTTTCCATTATTATTATTATTATTATTATTATTATTATTATTATTATTATTATTATTATTATTATTATTATTACTATTGTTGTTGTTGTTGTTGTTGTTGTTGTTGTTATTATTATGCAATCATCGAATGCCATTTATTGCGAAAGGGAAACTAATAACCATTTTTAAATAAACTACCTCGGGCACTCATCCTAGATAATGAGCATTGTGGTTTTATTATACTGTACAATGAAATTCTATTTTTATTTTCTTTCATTTCACCTATTGATTTATTGATAATTATTATTATTATTTGACATAATATAATAATAATTATTATTATTGTTGTTATTTATGCATTTCAAAAGTTTTACGGCGTCATCATTGACGTCATAGTTGGCTATGTAGAGTTGGAATAAATCCTGACACCTGTGAAGTATAATTAATTAATTAATTAATTTTATGATGAACATACATTTAAATTAATTAAATAACTAGTTAATCAATTAATCAATCAATCAATTAATTAATCGATTAATTGATTGATTACTGAATAGTTAAAATCAATTAAGTTGAGAAATCTATGTTAAAAAGTTATTATATATTAACTTAATGATGCTTCCTTATAGATCATATTATTATCATTAACATGGTTCTTAATATAATTAATGATGCTAGATATCATCATCGTGTTTTTCTGTTGCTGCTGTTGTCGTATTGTTGTAAAACAACATTTTAATCACTTTGTTGTATTTTTGTATTATTGTTGTCGTTGTTGATGATGATTTTGTTGTTGTTGATGATGATGATGATGTTGTTGCGCTGTCAGTAACAAATTAACCAAAAACACTATATTACATAACGATGAATGATGGTTGTCATTTATACTGAATAACTTGTGTCTATTATTAAATTTATCAACTGCCCACAATAAAAATTCAGTCTACCAAATTGAGCCACTAATCTCACTAATTCGAATGGGGACATTTGATTGATAGCTGAGGTATGGAGATGTGCGACTTTATCTGACAACCATTTCAGTAATTTCAATTGATTCTTAGAATTTCTTCGTTGAAAGAGAGTTTTTTAAATTAATTCGATTCGTTGTTTAGTTAGATCTATTTTGTCTTAGGACTCACTTTCAATTGTTACTTTATCTATGATTGAAGTTGTTTAATGTTTTAACCTATGAACCATAGAACCAGAAATCTTATAATTATTATTAAAAATGGTAGTAGTAGTTATCGCAATTCAAGTGAATGATATAAGAGCGTTAGCGTGTTTGGCATTGTTCAAACCACAAATTGTTAGACAAATTTTGTCTAACTTGATTTTTGTGTATGCTATTAAACCAGCTCTCGAACGCATCAATCTAATCAAATCAATCGGAAGCAGTAGAGGTAGTGGTAGCAGCTGTAGTAGCGGCAGCAGTAACAGTAGCAGTAGTGATATTAATGGTAGTAGTGATAGTAGTATTTTCTTGTATTGCAGTAGTTAAAACATAAAGTGTATGTTGGCCGGCTGTTGGTTGGTATGGCAACGTGCACATTTACACGTTTTGTGAAAAGGGATTGTCTTGTATGTTGGCCGGCTGGTTGGTCGGCATTGGCATGTCCAACTTGTACATATACACGTTATGTGAAAAGGGATTGTCATATTTTTTTACTTGTGCTTGTACTTGTTAATTAATACGCTAAGTTAAATTTTAAGTTTGTTACACCACAAACAAGCTACAGAAAGTTAGTTGGCTGGAAGAAGTTGAAATTTAAAACAATCTGCGTTATTTCATTTTAATGAATAAAGATGAATAACAAGAAAAGGTATTACTTCGTTGTTTTGTTTCGATGACAATTAAATTAATTAAACGCTACGTTGTGGCTGGTACCTCTCGCGAGAGAAAGCGATTTAAAGCAGCCTAGTTAAGCTAAATGTCTTGATATAATAATTTTCGTTGTGGTGGAAAGCTTTTAAAGCATTTTAATATTAGCTTAACGTTTTCTTTGAAGTTGTATCTTTATGTCTTTTATACGTTAAAAAAAACATTAGTAAACTAAACATATCAACATACTAACTGGCAGAGATGAATGCAAAAAAAATCTCCATATGCTGATTGAAAAATGTTTCCAGAGTGTTCAGTTCATTCAGACTCTGGTGTAACTTTCGACAAATCAGTGATGTGTCATGGTTATCCGCTGGGCTGCAGATAACATTTCTGAGGTAGAGTTGTTTTTTACGTTCGCCCACTCATTAATCCACATGCATATACCATACACACAAACAAACACAACATTACAACACAATCAAACACAACATTACACACCCTAACTTGCCTAACATTCATTTGTTCGGTGTTATTGTCATGTTTGTTTCTACTTTCTTCTACTTTTCTTCTCCACTGGACTGACGCCAAGAGTAAGTTGAGTTTAATTGAAAGTAGGTAAGTAAGGGCCTAAGATGAGTTAATTGATCATAAGTAGGTGAGATTTGATATGGGCTAATCATTATAGGTAAGCTAGGGCTTAAGCGTTAATTTATGGTAGGTAGGTGACTTCTATTTTTGCTACTTCTCATTTATTGATTGTTAAGTGTTAGTTTTTGTTTCACATCATCATCACACACTAACAAAACAATCAAACACATAGCAAACATTAAACACAGCAAACACAACATTACACACAGCAAACATTACAACACAATCAAACACAACATTACTCACAGTCAAACACAACATTATACACAATCAAACACAACATTACAAC